TAAAACTAAAAAAAAAAAAAAAAGTGTCAGATAATCACTTACTATGAAGGTAACCATTAATTTTTTACTGTTAACATTAGGATTTATTAGTTATAGTATTAGGACTTTCAATAAACTGACCTACTAAATGTTTGCTTGGTAACCTAATTTAACGTATTTTTCCAAAGATATTGATAAATTCAAAACACAAAAAATTCATTTCTTTCCATCATAATTTATTTATTTTTGGTTGTTGTTTAGGACTAAAATGTTTTAAATTCTTCCACTGTGTTCATGAAACCGAGGATTTTGAAACCTAACCATCACTTAGTAAGTAAAGTGTTGCATTTCCTGCTTTCTAAACAATTCTTTTTTAAAAAGTCAATTCCTCCTAAATAGACATGAGAAACAGATTTTCAAAAGGCTTTAAGAGATAAATGCGATAAAATAATCTGAAGTTCCAAAGCCTATATTCTAAATTTTGGACTTTCCTACGCATTTTCATTCTGGTGGAAGAGAGTGTGGCAAAGCAGTAGATGAACAGCAACAGTGGCCCGGTGGGAAGACTAAGGCAGGCAACCTGACGATCCACACCTAGCCCCATTTGTGGGCTAGGCTAAAGGTGACTATATCCAAAGGAGACAGCAGAGACTAAATTCTTAGGACTTGTGATGAATTAAAATGGGTATAGCAAAGAAAAGAAGTTTTTAAAAGTACATGGTAAAGGTAGTTTTTATTTTTGTTTGGTGCTAGGGATCAAACCCTGGGCATTGTGTATGTATATTAGACATGCATTCTACTTCCAGGCTAGATCCCTAGTCCCCAAAGTAGCTTTAAGAGAAAAAGTATATAGATTCTTTGCTTTATAGATTTAAAATTCTGATTATTAAGAAGCATCTTAGAGCTCTGTGACACACCATGAGCTTGTTTTAATCAGGGACTAGATGAAATCTGAGACAGATTCAAATCCTCCGCTTCAAGCAGTGCAGAGAATGAGTCTAAGAGACAGCTCAGTATTCCCATGTCAGCACAACTTTATTATTCACTGTCACTTTTCTCTAATCACTGTCATGCACACAGAACTATCATGAAATACCTTTAGCTTCCTAAAAATGTTATAAATTCAAGAGACAGATAAACTTTAGTGTAAGATTTTTGGTATGGGGAATAACTTGCAGTATGAAGACAAACACAGGAAAACTGTGACTCTTAAAAATTATATGACTAAGTAGAAATCTAGGACCAAGAATCTGCTCAAATCTTGCCACAGTCCAGAACATGAGATTTCGGGGCTGGGGAGATGACTCAGAGGTTAAGAGCACTGGCTGCTCTTGCAGAGGACCTGGATTCAATTCCCAGCACCCACATGGTGGCTGCGAACCATCCTTAACTCCAGTCTAGGGGATCTGACCTTAGCAGGCACTGCATAACATGGGTGAACTTACCTACATGCAAGGAATACACTCATACACATAAAATAAAAATAACTAACTAAATAAAAAAGAACACAAGGAGACGTGAGGTGATCTCAGATATATTCTTCATCAATATTAAGACTCGATTGAAATCAAAAAGAAAAAGTGTAAAAATGTTTTAAAGTCATGCTACTAATAATGGGTGAAGATGATAAAGGTAAAGTGGATCCAAGACCTAGGAGAAACAACACAGTAAATAAAACACGGGGCCGTTACCCCAAATCATGGAGCTTTAACATCCAACTACATTTTAAAAACTTTGGGATTTCAAAGGATAATCTATTACGCTACATAAAATTCAGAAGAATAATCTAGAACAGCCCTCTGAACATAACCATGGCATATGCAGCAAAGTGAATAAGCATTCATATTTACAGGGACAAGGCAGGACTAAATACAAAAATCTTCAAGCTAGCTCATGTAGGTCTTAATGTCAAATGAGTTATGAAAAAAATGTTTTTTTTACAGCTTTTTGGTTTTTGGAACTGCTCACGAGGGACTGTGGCTGTGCATAAGGATGCCACAGATTAAAAATCAACAGAAAACAAAAAAAATGAGGAACAGTATGTGAATAGACAAAAACTACAAACTTTGAGTTAAAAAGATTTTATGTGTCAAATCATACAAAGTATGCCATGAATGAATACACAAATAAAAACTAGAAGAGGTCAAATAGAGCTGAGTTAAATAAGACTTGGTTTTTAGTTAGGGGGATCAAGTCTAATTTTGTATTCAACTGTTTATTATGAAGCAATCATTTAAAACCCAACGGAAGAATCCTATCCAATGGTAAACTGGCATATTAAATAACAAGCAAACACAGCCTGATTCAAATGTAAATATCGATTTGATTTCATTAACTACTACAAGAGTGATAATGAGCTATCAGATATCAGGCTCTTTGTTCACCAAAAAAGGCCTTTTTAATAATGGCCATAGAGTTACTTTCTGAGTTAATTGTTTTTTCACTACAGAAATTATCCACACATACTATATAGAGGTCCCTGCACATTCCAAGGGGAAATCCACTGCCAGGGTAAAGTACCACACATCTAAATAAATCACATTTAAATATAAAATAAATCTAAAAGAACATCATACTAACGTCTTTTTAGGGGAGGAGCGCTCATCTTGCTGACAAAGAATCCTGAGGAAGCCAAATAATAATAATTATTATGTGCATATTTATTTCATATTTATCATGTTCACCCTTATTAAAAAGATTTCATGTTATGTAGATTAAGCAGTATTCCTATCATTCCTGTACTTGTGGCAACTGGGAATAATGCACAGTGAAAACATCTAAGAAGACCATGGTAATCTTCCTGAGCCAGAATGCCCAGAGGCTAACCAACAAAACCTTAGTTTCCCAAGTCAAGAGGCAGAATACTGCTAGAAGTCTAAACCTGAGGAAGGGGGCAGACAAGGAGGCGGCCAGAGATAGGAATCACTTAGAAAATGCTGACTTCTGTCATGGATCACAAGTCAAACAGGAAAGTCCTTGAATATGCAAGCACATGGCTGTGGCAGGTGCTAGCTGGAAACATGGAGCCAGTATCTCCTGCCCTGATGGGAGGGACAAACTCGGGGGAGAAATAAATTTTCAGGTTCATTGTTGCAAGAAGAGAAATAAACCAGTTGTACGGTTTAAATCAATATGAAACAAATACCTTTTCTATTACACAGCTTTAAAAGAATCAAAGCTGTGTTACCGTCATAAAGGCTGCTAGTAGAAAAGGAGACTAGATTAAAAAAAAAGACCTCTCCTCAAAAAAGCCAATATTTGGTTGAGACTAAATCCAAACTATTATAGCAACCAAATACATATACATAAAAAGCTTATTAAAATGATGTTTAATGGATAAAATGCATTTTCCTTTTGATAATGTCTTTACTTTTTGGTGCTGTTAGAGCTCAAACCCAGGGCTTTCAGCACAGCAGGCAAGTCTATCACCAAACATATTTCCTACCCTCAGCAATGCTTTCACTTTTAGAGCTGGTAAACACAAAATATTTGCCATTACAAAATCTGAAAGATGTCAAGTGACTTGATTACAAGTAACATATCATACCTGGGTAATAATTTGGACTATAAGCTGCACTTCTTGTGGAACATGTAAAAGATCGGTCCAGATTTTCTTGCCTGGAAGGTAAAATCTAAACAAAACAGGGGATTATTTTCTTAAATAATATTTTTTACAATAATGGAGTAAAACATGTATTTTTGTTTTTTAAAAATCACTAAACTGCGTTGTGACATATTTTGCAATTCAATATAATATATATATATATCTACTATATCATAAATAAGCTACATACTAATGAAAACAGACAATCTGATAAAGTTATTCAGATTTAAGGGGAAAAATGAGGTGCTATATGATTTAAAAGAACATTCGTCAGGCCAGCTGTGGTGGTGCACTCAGAAGGCAAAGGCAAGAGGATCTCTGTGAGATGGAAGCCGCCCTGGTTTACAGAGTGAGTTTCAGGCTAGCTGAGGAATAGGGAGACCCTGCCTCAAAGACCCACCCCCCCAAAAAAAATTGCATTTGATATATCCTATCTGAAAATGGGTTGTAACATGTATTACAGAACCTAAGAAAATCAACTTGGTTTTTATTCTTTTGAAAACGTTACAGAGATAATTTTGGGGGAGGGGGTGTCTTTTTGAGACAGGGTCTCCTTGTAGCCCCAGCTGGCCTGGAACTCACTGTGTAAAACAGGTTGGCCTTGAACTCACATAGATCCACCTGCTTCCACCTCTGCCCCTGCTGGGATTAAAGGCGTGCATCACCATGCTGGGCTCACAGAGATAATTCTTAATGAGGAGTGGTGCTGTAGTCCTAATACAAATGTAAAATGTAAATATATGTTCAGTACCTAAATGATTATGAGGGATGAGCACTTCAGATATTTTGTGCCTACCCTGCTATGCTTAAACAGATTTACAAAGCAAAGAATTCTCTCAAATTATAAATGGCTTTCCTGCTGAGCAAGACTGCTTTCTTTTTTCTTAATTCTTTCTTTAAATTGCACCTATTTATGGCCAGGTGTGGTGGTGTGTGCCTTTAATCTCAGCACTCTGGAGGCAGAAGTAGATGGCTTTCCGTGAATTCAAGGCCAGCTTGGTTTATATTGGGAGTTCCAGGACAGCTAGAGCCTCATAGTGAGACCTTGCCTCAAGAGAAAAACATCTGTGTGAGTGTGCATGCACATGTACACGCCAAAGTGTGTGTGTGTGTGTGTAGGTCAGACCACAACTTGAGGGAGTCAGTTCACTCTTTCTATCATGTGGGCCACAGGGATTGAACTCAGATCATCAGGTTTGGCAGAAAACACTTTTACCCACTGAGTCATCTCACCGCCCAAGACTGCTATCTCAACAGTGCTCCCCTTATTTTAATGTGCATATAAATCAGTCAGGCGTCCTTTTAAAATGCAGATTCTGTTTCAGTGGCAGGAGTGATACCTGAGAGTCTACATTTTTACCAGGCTCCCAAGCAAGCTGCTGGTTCTGGGTCAGACCTTGAAAAACTAAGCTTAATAAAATATACTCAAGAGTAGCTGTGTATTTATGCCTCTCCCTCAAGTTAATACTCAGTAATTTGAAAACCCAGTTTAAAAAGAAAAATGATCTATATGTTAATAGTTGTAATATTCAGAGAAATGAGAATTTTCTAAAAGATATCATTCTCAATTCATATATAGTCTGTTTTGTCTTATCTTAAATCAAGCAGAATTCAGAATACTAAAATCATTGATTCTAAAGAGTTCACATAAATACTTGGATTTTTTTTAGTGTAGCATTCAAACTATATCAGATGAAAAACTACAATGAGCAAAATAATCAGTTACTTAAAGGAATAAAATTATTCCTAACCTGCTGGTCAGAAAGTGAAAGCTGGTCCTCTGGAAAACCTGACTGCGACAGGACACGGGATTTGAAGGTGGAATTGTGGTTCATTAGAGTCACTTCTCCAGCATCCATCTTCACCCCATCAGCAATATCATCTAGGGAAAGAGTCCAGGTTACCTCCAGTCATATAACTCTTCAATGTTTTCTCGGAGCCAATCTTTTCACTTCATAAAAATGATTCTCAAAGAATTCTAAAGTCAAATAGAATCCCTTCTTCATAGCTAATCTTTGGCACTAAATCTCAAAATATCACCGTCAGAAGGAGACTATATGCAGAAATTGGTTCATTTGGAATTGTCTGACATCATCTAACAAGTTCAAAACTTATAGACAAATAAAATCTGCTTGACTGAAAGTTTTTTGAAATAGTAAAATTTCCCCCAAAGGAAAGTTTTTTTAGGTATAAGACATTTATACATTAAAAAATGGGACATTGAACACAAAAGCATGCTCTGGGAGTCCCAGCTGCCTGAGCAGCAGAAAGAAGATTATCTGAGCCCTGAAGTTCAGGGTCAGTGTGGACAGCACAGCAAACCCTATCACTATTTTCTTAAGAGGGGATGGGGCACACATAGTGGTGCATACCTTGGGAGGCAGAGGCAGGCAGACCTCTGGGAGATCATGGCTGGCCTGGTCTACATAGTAGTTCCAGCTGGGGCTACAGGGAAACTTTGTCTCAAAAAACAAAACCAACCAAACAAACAAAAACCCCAAACCACACAAACCAACAATAACAAAAGGGGAGTAGGGGGAGCTTCACCATTCAAAAACACTGTTCACATTGCTTTATTTCCTATTTGAACCCAAAAAGGTGCTTTAAAATTTAACCAGGAACTGGGAGATGGCTCAGTGGATAGGAGTACTCACTGTGCAGCTATGAGAACCTGAGTTTGAAATCTCAGCACATACATAAAAAGCTATACATGGCTGCCTGTGCCTGTAACCTCAGCATTGAGAGGTAGACACAGCAGATCCTGGGGGCTTGCCAGCCAGCTAACACAGTGGAAAGCATGAGCTGCTGGTTTAGTATGAGTCCCTGACTTAACAGAATAAGAAAGGCAATGATAAAGACACCCAAAGCCCTCTTCTGGCCTCCATTTATGTGTGCATGGGATCATTCTACACATATGTGTGCATGCACCACACACATCCCCAATACCAAAAATAAATATATAATTAAAAAAACTTTTATCTACTTGAATTTTTTCTGTAAAAATGCAGAATTTATTTATTTATATTCACAACTAAGTATCATCTCAATAACTAGATCCCGGCAGAATCCTAAATTTAGAAACATTTTTTGAGACCTCTTTTTACTGTAAAAGAATTAAAACAGGAACAAACAAGAGTTAAGAGAACTCAGTGACTTACACCAATATCAGCAAGGAGAGAAATGGGAACGGTATGACCAGGTGAGGGAGAAGAAAGACTAAGAAAAAGGGAGGAAGGGGGAGGAAACCAGAACAAAAGCACAGAAAGTAGGTAACACAGATTTAAAAGAAACACATGCCAGGCGCCTTGGTGCATGCCTTTAATCCCAGCATTCAGGAGGCAGAGGCAGGTGGATCTCTGTGAGTTCAAGGCCAGCCTGGTCTACATAGTGAGTTCCAGGTCAGGTGGGGCTACAGGGAGACCCTGTCTCAAAAAGACCAAAAAAAAAAAAAAACACAGAACAAACTCCTACTATTTGGCTACTTCAACTTGTTCCTGAATTAGCTACTCTTCCTGTCCCTATGTGAACCTCCTGTACAGCTATGAAATACGGTGGATGAAATAACGGGAAATGTTCCAATCATTAAATCTCAATTTCACTAGCTACATGAAATAAAAATTACCCCAAATTATTTATCATAAGGAGGCAGTATGACACAGGACTACAGCACAGGGACTGGAAGTGCAGCAATTTAACTGCCCTCTCTCCATGGAAGCACTCCAAGCAGGTCTCTTTACCTGGGTTTCCCTTTCCTTGTTGGTACAATAGCAATAATAATAGTTAGACTTTGTAGATATACTAGGTATCCTTGTAGAGAGCAGGCTGAAACAGTTACATGGATGAACATATTTTAAGTATTCAGAACAGGTATATAGTGTGCATTTGTTTTGTTCAGTACAATGAATGAGAAAATGATCCTAAATGATTCTGTAAACATACTAACCAAAAGAAAATAATGCTTGGTACACAGTATTATATACCGAGGATTATGATCTCTTGTAATATTATTAATATGCATGAAGACACAAATCTAACATGGAAGCACAGTAACTTAAGGACTGAACAGTTACTTTATAGCTAGTCTTACCCATCGCAGGTCTTTTCACATCACTGACTTTACCAAAGATAAAAAATCCTGTAAAAGACACAAAACAGAAATAATACATAGTTAAACATCTAATTCATATATTACAGAACAAGAAGCTATACAGAAGAGACACACATGTTCTTAGGGGAGAAAAATGATAGACTATTGATTTATTAAGAAGGTGAAAAATAAAATTGATCTGAGGTACTGTCAAATATTGCTGCAAACTGCACTGCACTAAACAACAACGACAGACAAACCACAGAATGCGGAGTATTAAAGCAGGAGGTAAGATGGGAGCACCAACCCCAGGAGACCAAGTAATATGCATAAAATCATACAGTTAGTGACTGCAATGAAATTACAAGCTAGAAATTCTTCCTAATCCCCTGCTTTTTCTATTATCCCATAAAAATATTTTTTCTAAGCAAGTGATAGCTTCGTGATGATCTTACTTTTAAAAGTTCTCTTCCATTGATCTTATTCAGTGGCCAAAATAAAGCCACAGATTTACTGAGGACAATCAAGGAAAACTTTCAGCTGTACAAAGTACTCCCTCACCCCCTCATCGCATCCATCAATGCTAAAAATGTCGAAATACAACTCAGTGGTAAACCCTTGTCTAGCATGTGCAAGGCCCCGTGTTCAAGCCCTGGGACTGAACCAACTAGCAAAGCAAAATAAAACAAAATCCGTTTACCAAACCCCCTTTTCTTATACACTAGTACTTGTTCTCCCTCGGCAGCAGGGGATGTTCTGAGCCCCCAGTATATGCCTGAAACTGGAGATGGTAGTGAGTCTTATATATATTAAGTCTTTTCCTACATACATGTATCTAAGAACATTTATAAATTAGGCTAAGGGATTAACACCACCAATAAAAAGTAGAATGTTGTATGAATGTGGTCTGTCAAAATATAGAATTTTTCATGTATTTTCAAACTACAGTTGACAGTAACTGTAATTGCAGAAAGTGAATTTACAGATAGGAGACTTTCTTTTCTTTTCCGATACATCCTCTTTTCCCAGAAGGGGGTGGGTAGTTAAGAGTCCAACTGCTTGGTCTCAATTAACATAACCTTGGCACACACGCTTTCTGTCAGGCTTCCGAGGAGAGGAAACTCGGGTTGGTAATAGTCTCACCTGTATCTATACTGATAATCTTATCACCGTATTTTTTAAAAGAATGAGCACTTCATTAAGTCCACAGCACTCCTAAGGTCTCAAAATACTGACTGGTGTTAACAGGCATTCTCTGTGGTCACAATAATGAAGAGCACACAGAAGGAAGGCTGCCTGAGCTTTTCTCAAAATTACTACAGACAAAGCAGAACTCTCTGATTACCTGGGCTCGCCAAGGAGGATTCCCAGAGGGTTTTGAAGCCTCAGATTTAGGTTTCAATATTCTAAAGGCTACTCTTCACCTTCTCTCTTCTTTTAATAGGGCAGAACTCCTCAGTTCCTTGATTAAGGTGGGAAAAATTCCTTAAATCCTAACATCCCCTGTCCTCACTGGTGCCCCCCCCCCTTATTTTTAAAGAATGCCAATTTAAAAGTCTGGTATCCAGTACTTGGGAGGCTGAAGCTGAAGGATCTCAAGTTTGAGGCTACCCTGGGCTATACAGCAAAATGCTGCAATAAATAAATAAATAAATAAATAAATAAATAATCTGGTACCCAGTGGAGCAATTCCAGTTAATATCCTTTTCATTTTACTGAGAGAGATGTCTAAGGGAAAAACAAGCTAGAAATATAAGAATTCAAAGAAGTTCAATGACTTCCATGAAATCACACAGATGGGGCAAAGGAAGAACCCAAGTATTCCAAAACTTCAACAGAGACCCATTTTAAGCATAACACAACTTCACATCCACTCACACATCCTCATTCAAAGATTTCTATAGGCCATGAAGAATAATCTCCAGTGAGCTCTGGGTAGTCCTCGCTGATGTGTACGTTTAGATAAGCGAGGTTGCACATTTACCCTTTTACATCTAGCTGCTCTGTTGTGCTTACAAGACTTTCTTTAGCACTTACACTGGGAGAAGAGATTTAAAAAACAACAACAAAATTCTGCATGAAGTGCTAGATCAGGAACCTTAGACGCCACCAAATTCTAGCAAAGATGACAATTTTTTCTTTTAAGGAACAAATTCTAATAATTGATCCTTAGCAATATATCAGTCATTTAATTTACTGAATGACCATAATAAGCAATTGCTTACTAATACAAATCAGGGTAGTAGCTAAGCACAAATGGAAATCTGAAAAAAAAAATGATGAAGTCTTGATTGCAACAGAATGTGGTAAAATATAACACAGGCTTACAGAGTAAGAAGTGATTGTAAAAATTAACGTTTAGGGAGACGATGAAGCTACTAGAAAATATATTTTGAGAAGAAGATCTATACAGTTAGTTGTATCCAGGATCAAGATGTGGAGAAAACAACTGACAATATGAGAAGTGATTATGTGAAAACTCTACTGTGAGTTTTGGAAAACAATTTCACATATGACACAACTTTTACAGTATCATTGTATGTTCAGGTTCCCCCCACCATAGTATTTTACATGTAATATCTCCCTAATTAGACTCTAGTATCCTCAGAACCTTAATATTCTGCATCTCTAACAGTATTTAACTTCTTTACATGCCTACATTTATCGTACTAAATGTGGGGTACTGGGTACAAAGATGAAGAGCTAGCCTTTGACACTAAGAAGCTGACTCTCTAAGAGAAGACAGATCTACAGATACAGCACTACAATAAAGCTGGTACAACTGGTAAGAGAAATGGAAGTCACCGGAAGAAAAGAATTACATCACCTTGGCCACAAGCGGTAGAACCTGTTTGTATACCCATCCACTCGCTCTAAGACTTGGTATTAGGATAAACCACTTTTGAAGTCAGGAAAATGAACGAAATCAGGGAACAATGAAGGACGCTTTCTAAAAGGGACCAACGGTGGGCAATCTAACTGGAAGGTTAAGATTCTTTAAGGTGCCAAGTGCACTTCAAAGGCAGTGCAATCCACACATCAGCTGGAGTCCTTAATAAAAATGAGCTTTATGAAGAATACCTGTATGCCATTTACTTCATCCAGAACGTCCAATTACAACCCAAATCCCAAGTCAAATAGTTGGCAGACTATAAAAGGCTTCTATAGAAATTGACGAGAATCACCACCCTCGTGTTATACAGTCAGTATAACGCGAACTAAAGGATTGTAACAAGTCTCACTTGAAAGTGATAAAGGAGCAAGTTACTGCCAACACGACAGGAAAACACACTGTAGAGACACTGATAAACAGAAATCGCCAGGCTCAAGACAAGGGAAACCGGGCACACATCCAGAAAGACCACGTTGGGGGTCTACGAAGAAAGAGACGGGTCAAGACAATTACCAGGAGGCGATGCGCCAGGTAAGCAAACTGTGGCAGTGAGGGGGCTTTTCATAACCTGTGCAGGAGCTCCAGACGGTTCTTTCTGGTGGTGGCACTAGCGATATCCCATCTCGGGGAAATACCACAGGGTAAAGAGTTGGCGAATTGTTTACGTGAGACACACAAGCAGAGAGAGAGAATTCAGGTCTCAAGGAAGACGAGACGGGAAGCAGGCGCGATAGAAAGCGAGCTCCCAGGGGAACACCGCTCTCCCCGGAGAGAGGACCCTGCTCTGGCGGGAAACTCCCGGAACCCCAAACCCGCCTCGTCTCCGCAGGAAAGTGGAGCCGGGCGCCGAGACCCGCCTACGGTAACCGGAGGGACAGGGTTTCTCCGCGGCTCTAGAGAAAGAGGCCCAAGGCGGCGGCCTCAGCAAGCCCCACTACCAGCCCGGGGCCAGACAGCCGCCGCAGAGCGGCAGGGGGAGTGGAGGTGGTCCCAGGGGGCGGGGCGGAAGAAAAGGCGCTGTGCCCACAGCGGTCCCCGTTTCCGCTCAGCCCAGCGGAGGCCGGCAGGCCCGGTCAGACGCAGCCTCCCGGCCCAGTCTCCCTCCATCCTCACCCCTCCCCCAGTTTCCCGCCGCCACTCACCGAACCGGAACCGGCTGCTAGGCAAAGGAGTTTCCGGCCGGGCGCGGAACGCAAAACCCGGGAACCTCCGTGAACCGGAACCGCCTTTACACCACCGGAAGACCGCTTGGCGGCCGCTGAAGAGGAAGGGGGTGGGGCGAGAGGTCAAAGAGCAGAGTTACGGGCCCGTGGAACGCCCGCGCGAGTGGCGAGGCCTGAGAAGCCCAGGGAGCTTTTGGCGCTGTAGTCCTCCCCCATTGCCCTTTCAGACCGGGCTTTTTCTCTTCCTCGTACTTGAAATACTGTTAGTGCGCCCTCCGTCCTTTGCTGTTCTGTGTCCCTCGGCCCCCTTGCCCGCTGCCTTCTGGTTCCGCACGGCGATTTTTTGCTGATACTCAGGTTTCCATGGCAGCTTTTTTCTGTGGCCCTAGATGTTCGGGAGCCCGTGTCTTCCTTGACGAATGAGAATTTGAGCTCTTACTCAGTTTCAGACTGCATTGTATCTTACTGAGAACTAATCTGCATCACATCATGCTTTACTCATCCCAAGAGGGAGAGTTGGGGGGAGGGGGCGTTTGGTTCGAGACGTGGGACCAGGAGGAAAAATCTTTGGAGACACCTTTGATTAAACTGTTGACAACATAGAGAATCTTCGTAGCTGGAGGAGTTTGAAAAAGTGGTCTCTAGTGGGGCTCATCAAAGATCTTGAATATGTTACCGTGCTGAACTTTTTAAAGAGAAAACAAGGGGACTAAGTATGTTCGTTCATTTAGAATATTTATCAAGCCCCTCAATTTAACTGGCCTCTGGTCCAGACTATGGAGAAGCCTTGAAGAACTGCTTAATAGGTATTGTAAGCCGGGTGGCGCACGCCTTTAGTCCCAGCACTCGAGAGGCAGGGGCAGACGGATCTCTCAGTTCTAACACCTGGTCTTAGTGAATTCCGGGCCTCTAAGGCTTGCTTAGTTCAGGGGATCCTGCCTTGTCGAATATATAAAAGATGACTTGTTTCACCATATATATTGCTATTTTTATATTGCTAAGTCCTAAAACCCATTACTAGTGACTATACCTTGACCGTGTCAATTATTGATACCTTAATTATTCCACAGATCTATTTGTTTGGATTAAACTCTGTCTTTATTTCTAGGAAATAGCCATGTGTAAAGATGAATTTAATCTGAAATTTTTCATGTGTGTGATTCAGTCCCACCAGGTAGTCAGGACTTCTCAAAGAACAGGTACCATTGACTCCTGATCATACTACAGTGAGAGGGAATGAGTTCTCACCGAGATCCTCAACAAGATGTGAGCTTCTAGTGTAATTATAGAATGTAGGGGTCAACTGACCTGTTCTATTCCTACCATGAAAAATACTTGTCACCGTTGAGTCTTTTCTTTGAACAAGTTTAAGTGAGATGTTATCTGTAGGCAAAGAAGATTTGGGAATTGAGTGGGAGCAAGATTTATAGGCCATGGGATGACACTGATTTCTTTTTAATTTATGGATTATTCGGGCTCATTTGTGGGAGTCCTTTTTGTCACTGCAGTTGACACCCCCCAGACATGTAAACCAGGCCCCAAAGAAAAATGGTCTTCTACCTTATTCTCATTATATGTAGTAATAAGTTCTGCTTTGCCTCTGTTTATAACAAGGAAGTATACTCTTTGGAAGGTAAAATGGTTAGTGAGAATAGCCATCACTTCTCTTAATTTTTTCACTGTATTTATGATAAAGTTTTGGGCAACTGAGATTTTTAGGGAAAGTGAAAGAGGCAGGAGAGGTCCCTTCCTTGAATCCTACCTTAAGGGTGACCTATTGCTTCTCAGCTGGGGAAGTGTCAACTTCCAGCATGCTCATACCAAAGCTACAAGCAAAGACTGACCTTTTGAAGAGGCTAGGAATTGTGGATGATCCAAACACTGTGGGAAACATACCTATTCTCAAAACTGGTGAGGCATGTGGGTAAACAGTGGGGAGGGATGTGAAGAGAAAATGAAAATGAAAAATTTATTCATGGTATCATAAATCGCAGGAGGCCAAAGTTGAAATGTGAGTCACAAGAAAGAGAGAGAGAGAGAGAGAGAGAGAGAGAGAGAGTGTGTGTGTGTGAGAGAGAGAGAGAAAGGAAAGAAAGAGAGAGAGAAAGACTATTTATATGAAGAATAGCCAAATCTGATTTACTCAATATTTGTATTAGGCAGTTTTTCTGTTGCTGTAACAAAATACTCGATGCTGGATAATGTATGAAGCAAAGAGATTTATTCACAGTTTAGGAGGCTAAAAGCTGGAGATTGGACATGTCCATTTCTTTAACCAATGCTGAGTGAGGATTCCCTTGGTTGTGCCACATCGTGGCAGGAACATAAGGGAGAAGGAGAGATCCCATGGTGAAACAGGAAACCAGATAGTCAGGAGGGGCCACTTTGCCTATTTTATAACAACCTTCTTTCACAGGAACTAATTGGGGCCCAAAGGACCCAATTCCTTCCCAGGTCCATACCTCCAACAACTTAGTTACCTCCCACTAGACTCCATTCCTAAAGGTTCCACCACCTCTTAACCTTGCCATAGTGAATACCAAGTTTCCAACACTTGAAACTTTGGGAGATACACTCAAACTATTTCCAAACCATAGCAATATTAAGTCAATTGGCTCCCTTATAATAATAAGCTACTTAATCTGGTTTCCCTATTGTCAGTAAAAATGTGAAACTTAAACTAACGGATTAAATTAAAGCGTTATTATGTTACAAAATGATTCCAAAGACTGTAAAATTTACCTTGGAAATTATTTAATAACATTTTCTCTTGTGTATTTTAATAAGGGCTAAATTCCCAAAAAATTACAGTAAGTTTTAGAAACACATCATCTATATGCCTCTTCTCAACTTAAATACATTTATATTGGACTCAGTTCACGAAATACTTCTTTAATTTCCACTGTGTACACAGTGACATATTAGAAATAATAAGTTATAAAACATATTTTGTTTCATTAAGGTGACAAGATACCTGAGCCAAATAACTTATGGGAAGAAAGATTATTTTTACTTTCGGTTTCAGAAAGTTCAGTCCATTTTAGTGGGAAGGGCAGGGTGGAGCATAGCAGCTCACACCAAGATGAGCAGGAAGTTGAAAGAGAAGCCTGTGCCCTGGGCTGCCTCCTTTTCTCCCTTTATTCCACTTGGGACCCCAGCCTACGGGATGGTGCCACCAACACACAGGACAAGATTTCCCTTCTTAGCTATCACTCTCTGCAAATGCCCTCACAGACATACTGAGCAGTGTGCCTATATACTTAAAGCAATCAACTTGTCAAATACAATCTTTAAAATAATGAGTCTCATCATGACATTTTTGTGCCAGTAAGATACACAGACACAAGACAGACACACAGACACAGACAGATATAGACACACACACACACACACACACACACACACACACAAATGCAATTTATCATTACCCTAATTGTTACAGTTTGGAAATGTCTTAGAAATTATGTAGCCCAACTTCTTTGTGTTTTCAGAAGGAATTCAGGACTAAAAAGTTTTCCTCAAGAAGTTAACAATTGAACTAATTATTCCCAGGACCTAAGAAATAGCAGTATTCATACTTTTTGAGAACTTGCTGTTTGAACTCATTGTATTAGACTCAGTAGGAGATAAGAAAATGAAGTGGATACTTTCCCTGTTCTCAGGAGCTGGTGTTCAAGGAGGGACAGTACATGAGATCATATATGAGTTAAGAGATTGGTGATGTTGGTTCAAAATGTTGAACTTCTAAAGAAGATGTCATAGAGATGTAGAGATGGTAAGGGCCAGCTGAGTGTTTGGACGAGTCTCTTAGCTCTAGTGTGGAGGCAGGGACCATGGTCCTATACGATCTCAAATGTAATGTACTCTTCTTAGTAAACCTGCTATAACCACACTCATGATAAAAAATTGTTTATACCCAACAATATTAATTTATTTGAATATTTGTACCCATTTGGCAACTGTGGGTGGCCTTTGTTCCTTTAATCTTTCTTTGCCCACTCATAGCAGCTAATAAGAAAAACAACCCTAGCCAGTAGCTTTGTTCTACTGTTTCTTGAGTATGCTCAGATTATTTTCCAGTCACCGTTGCCTTTCCTGCTTTTCCCGTTTTGCTCTATGCCTAATACTCACCTCAGACCCCCGTTGCCCTTATGACCAATTTTGACCTGCTTCTCTGGTTTGAACTCACCATTATCCCATGGACAAAACTCTGATGTTCAGTTTCTGCCCTTGAATATCCGGTCCTCAAGTAAGAGTCACTCCTAAGCTTTTAGCTCTCTTCCAGCCCCAGGGGCCTCCACGCTTCATTCCTGCTTGTCTCCACCTTTCTTTTTCTTCCTTTCTTCTTCCCTCTTCCCTTTAACGCCTTCTCTCTTTCTCCCTTGTATTTCCTTCCAGGAAAGTTTGTGGCCTTGTACTGTGCTAGGCAATGAACATATTTAGCACTGGGAACAAACAGTAAACAAAACAGATAGGTTACTCTCATGAAATGTATAGTCCTGTGGAAAGAAGACAGTAATCACACATGGATATATAATTAGAACAGTGCTAATGCAGCAAAGGAAAATAATACCACATACTCAGCATCTGAAACAGGGACCACACTCTCAGGAAGGAGTAGGGAATGATTATGCACTAGTTAAGCAAAGTAGAGAGAAGAGTTTTCCAGAGAGGACAGTTAGTTCTGAGTCAAGAAGAATTAGGCTCACTGGAAAGTAGAGTGGTCCAGTAAGACCTGAGGACTGAGAAGAATACCCCAAATAACCAAATGATGATGTAGCGTGAGATCATGCAGCATCTTCTAGATTTTGTTACTGCTTTTGTGCCATGGGAAATCAAATGAAGAGTGACGAGATCATATTAATTTCTTTGTTTAGACTTTTAGCTACAAATTTAATTTCCTTAACAGATGCAGGGTTAGTGAGGTGTGGTTCTGGATATTAAACCCAGGACTTTGTGAGTGCCA